GAGAATTCCCGTCAAAACAGGAAAATGTTAACAATACAGCATTAGTTTCCTGTTACTACTTAGCTGTTAAGAGACAGTAAGCACATCATGCAGCTATATCTTCTGCTTAAGAGATCTATTGGACAAAGAAATATTGTTAAGGTAAAACAAAAAGGTGCTGACTTAGATTCACTGTTTTAGGCTCTTATGACCCTTTAGCAGCAGAAAACAAGTTTTTTTTTAAATACATACATACTTCAGTGATTGTTTGAGTCTGATGGTTTCACTGTGATTAAAATAATCTTGTCCAAAAGGCTCAGTTTCAGAAAACTGCTGTCAGAGGAGGGAGAATGGTTTTGTTTTCTGGAAAGATGCATGTTATCTTTGGAATGGATTATTTTAAGAAGTAGGATTTCAAGATATAGTGATGAGTTCACTGGTCATCACTGCAGTGAGAGAATTTTGTTTTCACCAGATTTGGAAGGTTCTGACCACAGCTGTTATGCTATGTTGTATGTTAAGATAAAAAGGTGTCTGCGTAACAAACAGAATTTTGTGTATGTCACAGTGTTTGGATTTGAGTTCTGAAGTGGAATCAACACATTTGCAGCATGCTATGTGCAGCAACTAATTGTACTTACTCTGTATGCTCTTTGCCTAGGTTTGAGGCTTTTGGAAACGTATGATCATGTAACATGGTCATTGAACTTTGTGGGGAGGAAATCTTTTCTCATGGGTGTGTGAAGTCTGAGATGTATAGCTTTCCAAAACTAGTGTATTCTGCTGACATTCATATTGCAGGAAGAAAACTTACATTGCTTTTATACGTTTTTTGGACTAATTGCGCAGAGCCAGGAGCCAGGTGTCATTGCCATGACAGGAAGAAGGGTATGTTCAGCCAGGCAGGACTTAGCTTTGGGCAAGGACCACACTGTACATGTATACAGGGAAGAAAACTGTTAGATCCTAGATGACCCAGATAGCTCTATCGCAGATGGATTAATTTAAATTAATGTAAGTTTCTTTTGTCTGCTTACTTTTGGATATGGCACTCTGGATTATTTAAAAAGAAAATCTCCTGCCCTTATATGCCATAAAGAAATTAAATCAGAAATGGAGGAGCATTGTGAAGCTGTATTCTCACTACACTCTAAAAAAATCCCACCAAAACAAACAAACAAAAAAACCCCAACCAACAACCCAACCAAAAACAAACCACAGACATTAAAAATGGATATGGAATGTGTTTGTACTGAGGAACTGGAATTCTCTTCAAACACAATAATCTCAGTCCTTGCTCGTGTAATAGAAGAATTCCTAATATTCACAGAATCCAGATATGTGGAAAACAGATACCAAAGTTCAAATTTGTGTTGTTGGGAAAACTAAGAGATTTCTTAGGAAGAATGATTTTAGAGCTTATTTTTTAGCTTTTGCCAGTACTGTCACTGCAAATATTTTTCAGAATCAAATACTGACTATGTAAAGTGTTGCACAGAAGTAGGTAATGGGATTATTTTTATAGCTGGGAAGGAAAGGATGGAAGGGGGAGAAGCATCTCAGAACTATTTGGGGAAATATTGGAAAAGTTATAATTTCCCCCTCCCTTATCTTTTTTTGCCTCTACGTCTTCTCAAAAAAAGTTACTGTCTCTGTAGGAATAATGTGTGAGAGGAGGATGGAATTCAGGCGGGTATATTCCTTAGTGTTGCCAAAAAGGAATGCCCCTTTATATCGTAAAATTGTGTTCTAATTTGTAGATAAAAAATTGTTTAAAATTTCTAATTGAATAGCTTCCATAAGACTTACTTGAAAAACTTAGATTTCTGTTAAACCTTTACACTTCTTAGCTCTGCTACCATGACCTCTGCTAGCTGTTTCATGCCAGCAATCCCAGCACTCCTATTTTTTTTTTTTTCCTCCTCTTGTGGTGAAGCACAAATAGTCTTAATTTGCCAGTCATCACCCTGGTCTCTGCTGTCCTAATGATAAATAACAGAATTTAAGCCATTTCCAAACAATAAAATCAGATGTTTATCATATCTGATATGAGTTACTTAAGACATTTAATAAAGGAAGCAGTGCTGCTTTTTAAATAAAATAAAAAAAAACATGAATGATACTTTAAAAAGTTTAAATTATAAAAAAAAAAAGCTGTATGTTGTTTTAGTTAAATTTCCCCTTTATCAAATTTAGCATTTAAAGGTAGTTTACAAATGAAAACTTAACAATTATTAGATGAATACCAAGCTTGTTTTTAAATTATCGCCTATTTCTACTGAACACCACACATACTATCTTGCTTATATACATACAGCAACCTATTTGTGTTAGCTGTCCTTTTACCTTCTCAGAAAAGCAGCACTCTGTGGGACAAATCAGAAGAGGTTCTCATTAGGAAAAGGTTGGACCACCATAGGAGGACACTGTAGGGAAGTCTGCTCTCGTGAAGTAGACTTAAACCAGAACTAGGAGAAGGGAAGACATTTGTGTCTAAGCCTACTGACCAGCCATTTTTCTTTCACTTTTTAAATGAATAGATTTCTTTAAACCTAAGAAGGCTAAGGATAGAATTTCAAAGTTGGTTAGAAGCAAGACTTGCAGACGAATCATTTGGCTTCTTATGCTGGTGTTCTGTTTTGTTTTTCTCTGTAATGAGACAGGCATTGATGATTGAGAGAATATCTTATCCCTACTATAATGTCAGATAATTGTAAGGAAAAGTTGGACCATAACTGTATATGAAGAAAAATGTATTTGAGGGTAGTTATCTTAACTCTGGTTAAAGTAAGGATATACTTGGTTTTCCTTCCCTTACTGAGAACAGTTTGAGCGAAAACAAATCGTTGTCAGTTTAGAAGAGAAGGACAGGTATGGGGTTTTGAACTGTGCCATTGGTGGCTGATAGTTCAGCTATAGAAAAATCATAGCCCCAATTCCCTAAACTGTTTGAAAATTAATGATATAAAATCTTCCTAAACAGTGGGAGGCTTTCACACCTGCATTTGAGAAAGGAACAGAGGGGAGGGGAAGAGGCTGATAAGAATAGTAGTATCCATCTAAGTACTGTCCTATGTTCGCTTTCATCTCTGTAGCTACTTTTCCATTTCTGTGTCTGTTTCTTTGAATTTCTTGAGTCTCTTAGGCAGAAAATGAAATTAAAATCCATTAATGAAGCTGCTGCTGGAAGTTACTTGCTGATTATCTACCATTAATAATGATGGTGCAGTTGAGGAAAAAATTTTCAGAACAAAAACTTGTATAGCCTCTTCTTTTTATGTAAAACAGATGGGATTTCTAATGGAAATTTATCTTTTCAGTAATTACGTATAAAGATGGTAATGATGACGGTCTGCTAAATGAGATTCCAAGTGAGTTGTTGAAGAGTAGATATTAGGATTTAGTTATCTTGCTATGACATGTTTTTCACCACTATATTCAGCTACTTGGTGAAATCTGTAGTGTTCTGTAAATCATGTTTTAAATATGCCTTTATGAAAGTATTTTTCCCAGTTTAACCACAGCAATTTAATTATTCAGTTTTTAAATCCAGTACCTATATATGCAATAATTAATTGTATCTATGGTTTTGAAACGGATGTGGTATAATAGTCCCTTTAGAACTTTTTTGATGTGCAGTTTAATTCTCTATTCTTATAGAATGGCAGACGTATAAAAGGCTATAAATAATAACTGAGTTGTGTTCTTGGCTCCATTTGAAGGATGAGGTATTTTTTTGAATGCTTGCTAATTGGCATAGAAAGTGGCTTTACAGA